AGGCTGAGTATGAAAATGGTTTTCCAATAGAAATCAGTACTGTAACTACGATTGATAACAGTGAGACCTTCGTATGTTTTAAATTATTATTTCAAGCTCGTTTCAGTTGCAAGTATTTTGTGCAGCGAAAGAATATGCTTCATAAATCGTTAATATTTTTTATGTTTATCCAGAATGTGAGAAAAAACAACTGAAATAAGCCGTGCAATACATATTTTCTCTATTATTATAATATGCATGTATCGAGGTAAATAAAACTAAACAATCGAAGAGTGATAGAACAAAGAAAACAATGATATTTTATCTCGTTTATAAAGGTATCTTAATGCAGCTTCTTACTTAACTAAAAGACCGGTACGACTGAATGCACACAAGTATTGTTTTTATTCATAATATGCATATAAACAATATAATACTTGACTATCACACCGACAACAGCGTCGATATATTACACTGTTATTATTGTGATTAACGCAAATTTACACACGAATACAACGAGAAATTGTAAATATTCTGAAAAAAGCCATGTTCTCAAACTCGTTTGTGATATTTATTATTAGCACCTTTAAAGTAGAATCCATGGATACTCTGATACTTTTCATATTCGGAAAAATTGTCCCGTCGAAAGTATCATACCAATTCTATGTGAAAAAAGCAGTCTAAGTAATGATGATGATGATGATGCAAAATATTCTCTTTAAAGATGTTTTCAAGAAAGAACGCAAGTCAGATAATGTCTTTCGAGTGAATTAATTTGATAGTAGTTTCTTATGTATTTTATACATATTAATGTTGTGATTATGATTAGAAGTTGTTTTGATGAAATATGTAAACATCAAGGTCAATAAGGGCACAAAGGAGACGATAATGGATGTCTTAATGGGTAGTCTTTCCACTGGTGTAAGTCAGTATGAAGTGTTTCACCAATGGGGTCGTAGCAGCAGATCGATACCAAACCGAGCAGTTTTTGTTGATTGTCTTTTATTTTTTTAATCGTATGTTTATTTGTTCTATAGATGGCATATATTAAGAAAGTTACCAGTTTCGTATCAAGAACTAAAAATTTCAATATGGAAGCGAGAAAGACAACGTATAAAATTGGTTCTATGTCAATTTGACAAAACTATGAAATTCTAAAAGTTTCAGATGGAATGATATCGATTGTTACGTTTCATCCAATAAACATCGACACATTTATATTTTTTATTATAACTATATGTTACACCTTTCTAAAACAGCATTGATTATCTTCGAAAGCCGTTTCTAAATTTATTGAATATTTTACAATGTCTTTTACGTACTGATGATTTATCCTTTATGGGTGTGGGTGTGGATTTGATGTTTCTCTTGCGTCGTCCAAGGCAACACCTACACTCACGCTCACCCGCATCCCATCCACAGTCTCACGTTGTAATAAAGTAGCACACAAACTAGTAAAAAATAATCAGCAATGTATGCTGATTCTCAGAATAATAATATTGGGTTCACATTTGTTGGTAAGCTAGCTCCACACTATGACATAACTTCTTTTGAATATAAACCAATATATTGGCAGCATAAAAAAAGGAATAAATACATAGTCCGAGAGACTTTAGGCAAGATGAATCGACATTGCACAAAATAGCTTATTCGATGCAATTTTTCATGCTGATTTTGAATTCAATGTTGAAAATTTTTTTTTGGTCGTAAAAAATATCAATGAATGTTGAAATATTATGAAAATTCGCATAAAATACCGTGGAAAAAACAGTCTTTTCGCGTTTTTGACCCTACTTTATCAGCAAATACTATTCCCATGAAAAGTTAAATATACAGTTCGATAGAAGAGCTTCTGCTCTATCGAACTGTATATACCACCAAGTGCGGAAATTCCATTTTTTATTGAACTCATAAGTCAATATTTTCCGTATTTTCCTCACTTTTCGTGTATTTAGTAAAAGAAAGGCGTATGCATAGGATCAATAAAATATCAAGAAAATACTTTCAAAAATACATAATATTAGACAGTTTTCAGTGCTCTACACGAATCTGAAGTTGAAATTTTGATTAAGAAAATATTAAAATGATTGCTGGCTAAGATACTAAAAAAGGCCACATTTGGAGCCGAAAAAATAATTGAAGGAGGGGTATTTCATTGATTTCTTTCTTATTTACTATTGAATGCTAGATTTTGTTGGTAGTCAAAATGATCAGCACAAAAAGCTCTATAAGATGAGTCTATTTGATAATGATTTGGAAATACTCTTGGATTTCGTGGTAGGAATTCCATGGAATTATTCATACCTATTTCAGTGTTGTGACAGTGGCGACTCAACCGATCGACTAGCACTTCTACTAACATCATAACTTATCAAAGCTTATAATTTTTTTGATGTTTTTCTAAATGAATACTTGTTTTATCGCTAATAAAAAAATTTAGTCCATCAAGCTATAGTGCAAGAGAAATTTTTGTTCAACTAATTTTCGAGATACTCAACTGTCTATCAAATATCGAGTTAGATATCTTCTCGATGTTTATTTCTTAATTAATCAGTCTAATTTGCATTTCAATATTATGTTTTGATTGATTTTTTGTTTCTGTTGAAATAAATATAAAATATCTTAGTCTATCCACCTAAAAAACACTATGCTTGGCCAAAGTTGAACAGAAGATTTCTTGAACGCAAAACGATCAAATTATTTATCAGAAATTATATTTTAGCTTTTCATATATTCGACATCGATAGATGTCATTGGTTTTGAATAATGGCGAAAATAAGTGGTAGCCATCAGTAAAAATCAATCATTTTTTTTTTGAAAAAATCGACAGAAAAAGATGTTATTGTCTTTATCACATTTCGAATATAACTATATCATTTTAAAAAATAGAAATAATAGTAGTATCATCGAAGTTTGAGCTACAGTTTGACATTAATGAATCACTCTCTTTTAGAGAAAGGCGGTTCTAATTAGTAATAACAAAAAACGGGTTCCCATATCAGTCCCTAAAAAAGTGTCTCTGGAACCGGTGATTTAATAATAGTATACCAGATAACTGATACAATCATTTGTTCTAGAAATTTCTCAGTTACATTTCTTTTTTCGAGATTGTTAATGTCTATTATTTTTGAAAAAGTAATTTCTTCGAAAGATGATAAAATAATGAAAGTATGAGAAAATCATGACTATTATCCAGCTGTATATTCGTTCTATTGATCAAGAATCATATTGAGCTGAAATTTTATGCAGACATTGCAGGTGCCTAATTACACAATAATCAGCTTTATATCTCGTTCTTTGTTGGAGCTAGAGCAATTTAAGAATGTTTTATAAGACTCATTTTTGGTGTCTATCGCATGTTCAATGGTATTCAGCAAGTTTGACTGAAAAATTTTATTGTTTTTTTCTTTATTTAACAGAAGACCCTGGAGTTCAATAGCTCTTTTTTTCGGTTTTTTCTTCTCTCGCTAGTCTTGAGACATACATTAAGTCAAAAAATCCTCATGAAAGCTGAGAAATTTTATGAAAAACGTCAGATTTCGGCAAAAACCTCACGCTTAACAGTGGCATGGTTCAAAGCCATGGTAATTATAAAAGTGTACATCGAATTATCTAACTATATCTTTTCTTTAAAAAGTGATTTTCTGACGATGCTCGATATTTTCAGGAATCCTAATCAAACTTCTAGCTATTCTTAACTTCTCTTTCTATCCAATTGTGAGAGATACTCCTAGTTTATCGCTGGTACAACCATAGATTGATCTCTCCGGCTTTAGATTATGCATCACTTGTACAATTCTTCAGTTATCAGTAAAGAATTTCTAGCTCTGGGCTCTACCTTCTTTGGTTGTCAAAGTTATAAAAACTATGTTTTTTTTTAGTGAACCTAAAAGAGTTGCTGAGTGCGCCACCACACATTGATTGAATTACCATGATGTTATAGTAATAGCTCTTTTCAGGAAGAAACTTCAAAAGAAAATTTCATCATCGTGAGGTCTGTTGCCTTAGCTACAAACAGAAATGAAAACTCTAGGAATATTTCTAAAAATTTCAGGACGGAACAAAATAGAAAAAAAAACCAATGTCTCTAATTTTTTAATCATTATATCGAAATATGTCGTACACTTTAATTTTTTTTTTTCGTTTTCTAAGGAATATCTCAATAATCAAATAAATAAGACTGCACGAGCCTGAAAAATGTCAGAACGCTATCCTATATACAGTTGCTGGTTCTAGATCTTCGACTTCCGTAGAGAAAATTATAATTAATTTCAGTCACGCTCAGCTATCTTGGCTCACCTGACGACTTAAAAGATAATGAATCAGAAATATCAATGATCTTGTTCAGATGGAGTCATATATGACCATAAAAAGAAACTCTTCGATATTAATTACTGTTTTCCTCATTTTTATAGTCCATCGAACAAAATCGAGTTTTAAAAAAACGGATTTCAAATATGTACTCATCATATGCTTTCGATCTCAGCTAGCTTTTCTTCATTTCGAAATAATGATTATTAATAGAGAATGGAGTAAATGACTTGAATCATGACAATTCGGAATGGGATACGAAAAAGTTTGCCCTATAATACTCTACTTTTTAATTTTGTAAAGTCATCATAATTAAATTAGAACTTTCATATATTTTGCTGCAGTATAAGTTTCAGCTCTTTTCTTATATTAAATTGCTAAATTATGACAATTTGAAAGTCAAAAATGAATGAGTACATAATCAAAAAAACATTTCATTATTCAAAATAACATTATTACTATACATTAGAAATGATTTCTTTTAAGATTAGAAATATCTTTATTTTACATTAATCACAATATCGAATAAAATGAGCAAAAAAAAAACATACAATTGTCACAGACATATGAATTGTGATGGAAAGCAAAAGAAAAAAAGGCAATAAAACATTTGAGTCATTATATCTGTTATATATGTTTGTCTTTTGAATGGTGTGATACATCTGCTTTAATAAATATCAAGAATTTTAAAAAAAATTCATTTTTATTTTCTATACACCTCTACGTGTAACTATTGGACTAGTATCATTTACTGAATTATTTGAAATTCCAATTTTTTTTTCTATATCACGTGCTTCATTATAAAGTATAACACCAAATATAACTGTTAATGTGCCTAAACCACTAAGAAATGTCACTTGATTTTTAAAAATAAGTACTGATAACCATATTAATAAAGCTCGTTTCACCGTATTAGCAACACTAATAAAAATCAAATCAAATCAAAACAAAAAGAACTAAATTTAAATTTTACCTATGTGTTATTGGTGATATATAAGCCATAACAGCATAAGCAGCAAATGATTGAATATGATATGCTACACCATTAAAAATATATAATAGGAAAAGTATTGAAGATGTTGAACTAATTGCTGATAAAATATCCACATTATAACAAAGTATAGGTAATTGAAAAACTGAAGCAACAAGACTTGCCCAAAATTGTAATTCAACAGCTGTATAACGATAACGTTCACCACTAATTAATAATTTTGAATAAACATTTTGTAAACTTTAAAGAAAAAAACAAAAATTTTTTTTTTGCAATCTTTAATTAAATATCTTTTTTACCATTCAAAAAAAATTGTTCCTAAAGCACATAAAAAACCCAAAATATTAAAACTTGATTCAAATGAACTGCATAAAGCAAGACCAATTGTAATTGGTATCATTGAAAAATTTGTCCAATAACCTGTTTTTTCTCCTGTTATAATTCTACTTATAATAACTGTAAATAATGGTGATGATGCTTTAATTGTTGCAACAAATGAAACAACAATATATTTAAGTGCTAATAAACCTAATATAACTGTAATACAACGAAATGCTCCAATATATAACATATCTTGAAAAATATTTTTTATATTCGGTGAATTTTTATGTATTTGTGTTGAGATTTTATTCATTATTTGCATTTGTATAAAACTAGATAAAATTGATAAAAGAAGTTGATTCATACCTTTTAACAAAATAAATGATTTATTTAATAAAAAGACAAAACAAAAAAAAAAGATCGTGTTTGTTATTTTCTTTTTTTTACCTAATGAAAAAACATCACCATGAAAACTACTGAGAATATATTTATTTGAGAAAAGTGTAGCACCTGATGAAATATACCAAATAATTAAATATACAATTGCCATATAATTTTGTAAACCTTGTGGAACATCACGAAAAAGTCGTTCAGTTGATAAAACATTTGTTTTTTCCGGAACAACTTCGTTTAAACTCATTGATTTTATTTAAATAATAATAATAATAATAATAATAATTTCACATATCATGGACGGATAAAATAACGAATCGAATATTTGGTTTTTTTTTTTTATGTTGTCAAGTCAAGGACAACATTTATTTCATTGGTTCCTAGAATTGATCAATCATTTAAAATATCAAAGATGGTGTTAAAAAAGGTTAACTGCATAATTTTAGATCGTAATTGATTAAATAAAATGCGATTACGTTTAACCTTTCTTTTTCGTCAAAGGTTTACATCTCAAATAATTACAACTAGTTTGACAGGTGGATTAATTGCAGGTAAAACCATGGAATAAAAAATAAATAAATAAATATCAGAAGTGTGTAAATATTCATTTCCTTTTTTTTTCTACAAGGTTATTTATTTTCAAAATATAAACCAATTGTTCATGCAGAAACAGATAAATCTATTATTATTGGAGAACGAATTCCAACATTACCAACTTATAGTATGGCTGATGTTGCTAAACATACAACAAAAGAGAATGGTATGTAGAAAATGAAATATACACTTTTTTTTCCATAAAAAAATAAGTGAGATGTGTCAAGTCATGCACTGAGAGTACCTAAAAATTTTACCTTGATTTTCTTAGCCTGACAATGATTATTCCTTTTACAAGTTTATTTTATATTTTATCAAAATTCAATTTCTTTATCATTGTTCCATTCGAAATCTTTATAGTTCAATAGAATAAAGTGTATTGATTATAAATGATATTTTTCCTTTTTCAAAAGTATTCATATAATAAGAACGATCTAAAGCATTTTGTAAAACCCAATTTTTTGACTTGAAGATTGGTTAAAATCCGATTTAGATTCATCGAAAATAGGTTCATATGATGTAGATTTTTTTTTCTCAATATCAGAATCGATGTTTAATAAAACACTTTTGCTCTGATCACTACCTTTAAGACTCAATTTATGTTCTTTTTGACTTATATTCGAAAAGAATAATCCTTATTTAACTTCAAACAAAACTTTTTGGCAGTGAAATAGAAGTTCTAGACTTGTGAAATATCATTTAAAGATCAAAATAGAGATGTCTAAACATTTAAATAGTAGTTTTGATGAAACTCATTTTTCGACATATCCTTGAGACAAAATTTCATCGAAATAAAAAGGTCGCAGAAACAATTTGAAACATTTATATTTGCGCTGATTCTAAATGTGATATTTGTGTAAGTCAAATGGGGATTATTCTATTCGAAAACGATCGAATATAATTTAAAAAAGAATACAAAGTGAGTCTATTGTCGACGAATCTTAATCGGAGTTTAATTGACTTTCAGGTCAAAGACTAGTTTTAAGGCTTTCAGAAAGTACTTTAGATCTTTCTTCTTATCGAACTACAAAGACTTCTAATAGAACGGCGATAAAAAAATGTTTTTTTTCTTCGATACTTGAGATACACTCCAGGTATGAAAAATAATTAGACTTCAATATTGATGGTTAAACTAAGGTCAAATTTTGTAGGTATATAATTTGATGCAACTTCTTTGCGATGAATAGTATGTATTTATAGAGATAATTTAGGTCAAATACTCTGAAAGTTTGTTTTGAGATTTATTACAATATCGAATGATAAATTTTTAAAAAAAAACAAAAAATGTCTTGTAGATCCTCTTCAATTGTCCTCTTCCAATTTCAATGAATTTTTGCCTATAGATGCTACATAGTGTTCTAATAAAATTCTTAAAAAGGATTTGAGTTTCTATTAGTAGTTAATTAGGCTATAGAATTTTGATCTGAAACATTGTACATATAAAGTTTCTCTTAGGCTCAACAGGCTCTACGTAATGACTGAGTCTCGTCTCAAACACAAGGTATCATTTCAGATAATTCCTACATAAGCATTACTGAGTGTATCGATTTTTTTTTGTAAGGTTTCTGGGTTTTAGAGAAGTTAATGAGAAGAATTTCGTATTGAACCGAAACCATCTTAACATGTAATAAAATAATCTATTCTATATTTATTCTTTAGGTTATTGGCTTGCCTTTAGAGATGGTGTTTATGATATAAGTTCATTTGTTGAAAGTCATCCAGGTGGTAAACAAATTTTGAAAACTGTTGGTAGATCATTAGAAACTTGTTGGAAAATCTTTACAATCCATCAAATTGAACATGTTTATGAAATTTTAGAACATTATCGAATAGGAAATTTACCACTAGGTATTAAAAAGATAATAATATTTTTTGATTAAATAATTACATGCAAAAAAACAAAAAATAATTTTCTAGGCGAACGAGAAGCTAATGAAAACAATCAAGAAGAAGTTATTGATTTATTTCAATATGATCCTGAACGATTAAATGCAATAGAAAATTTTTTTATTCGTTCAGAAAAACCTTATAATGCTGAAACAAAACCTTCTATGCTTATTTCATCATTTTTAACACCTGTTGAAAAATTCTATATAAGAAATCATATGCATGTACCATTTGTTAATATTAATCAATATAAATTAGAAATTGGAAATGAAAAATCAACTTATTCATTATCATATGATGATTTAAAAGATAAATATCAATCATATACAATAACATCAGCTTTACAATGTGCTGGTAATCGTCGTAATGGAATGAATAATGAACAACAAGGAACAGTACAAGGTACACAATGGTATGTTGGAGCTATTGGAAATGCTCGTTGGACAGGTGTTAAATTAAGTGATGTTTTGAAATCATTTGATCTTGATAAAGAAGGAAAACATATTCAATTTTTTGGTCTTGATTGTGATACATCACAAAGGTAAAATTTTCTAATTAAAATATATTTATAAATAGTTAACTTTTTTTTTTCCTTTTCTAAAGATGTTATGGTGCATCAATTCCAATAGAAAAAGCACTTAATGATGATGTATTAATTGCATATAAAATGAATGATGAAATATTAACAAGTGATCATGGTTATCCATTACGTATATTAGTACCGGGTATAGTTGGAGCACGTAGTGTTAAATGGGTTAATCGAATTATTGTTTCGGATAAAGAAGCTGATAGTCATTGGCAAAAAGCTGATTATAAAGTTCTTCCATCATCTATAAAACAACCACAACAAATTGATTATGATAATGTACCTGCTATACAAGAATTAAATGTTCAATCAGCTATTTGTTATCCAGCATCGAATGATGATGGAAATAAAATTAAAATTTTATCAGTTAAACCAAATGATGATGATATTAAAAATAGAAGACTTACAATTAAAGGTTATGCTTTAAGTGGAGGTGGAAGACAAATACATAATGTACAAATTAGTCTTGACCATGGGTGAGTAGAATTTATTAATTATTGAAAAAATTTCATGAATGACTTGTTAAAATACAATTGGAATAAGTTAGACTCGGAATATTTGCAGATTTTTCTTTAATTGTGAAATTGCATCAATACAATTTCATTTGATCATATATCATTTGTTTCTTAGTATAAGATAAGTTATGTAAATTATAGCAAATGAAAATCTTGAGTGTTTATGAAGAACAAAGATGTTAGTAATCTGTGTATTTAAGAAAACATCAAGTCTGTTCTTCTTCGTTATTGTTCTATCTGTTTCGTAGAACAAATATAGTCATATGAAATTGAATTTCTTGCAATTTTAAGTCATACCAACATCAAATGATTCATACGAAGATCAATAACTTTTATATATGAAATAAAGATCTTTATCAAAAATATTTCGAGACATTCGAACATTAATAATCAATTATGTAAAGTACATAAATAATTTCATACCAATTGTTTCTTATCATTCTATATATATATACATGGGAGTAACAAACTAGTATGATACCCCGTTTTGATACAGTCCTATTGTAAGAATAAAACATACTATTGTCTGGGTCATATAAGAGAGGATCCTGGATTGGCCGAACAACGTCATGTTTTATCCTTACAATAGGACTGTATCAAAACGGGGTATCACACTGGCTTGTCATTCCCATATTTGATAGAGAAATTACTTTTAAAAAAATATGTTTCACTTTATTAAAGAATTAATTAATATTCTTTGTAAATTTTTATTATAATCTAGAAAGTAGCAATGAGAATGTTATTTGATTCAGAGAACTTTAATAGAAGGATATAAAATAGTTGCCGTCAGGTGTAAGTTTATACATCATTCAAAATAAGTTTCCGGTGTTAATGAGAAACAGATACATCGAAGCAGAAAATATATCAAAATTAAAACGACAAAGACTTCTAAAAATATATAAAATTAGAAGAAAATTAAAAAAAGATTTAATTGTCAAATGAGTAACCTATTTTTCGTCTCAAGTCATTCCGAACTCCGGACATATGTCCGGATGTTCGGAAATGAATTTTTGTTCTTAAAGATTTAAGACCGGAGTTCGTAAACATTTTTGTGCGGAATATCTTAATAGAAAAGCAAGGAAATCGGAATGGTGTAACAGGATGTTCGGAAGTTTTCATTACGACCACTCTGTCTTTGTCATTACGAACTTTTGGACTTACTCATCCCGATCTCCAGTCAAAATTTTTCTGTTCAACCACTAGCAATGAGTTGTCAGAGTTCGTGACGAACTCTTGGACAAATTTCACTCCGAATATCCTGTTTTTTTGTTACATTTCATTGACTTTTGCTAGTGAGAACTTCATTCCGAACCCCTGTCTTTTTTCTTACGTCCGAAGATCATAACGGACTACTTCAACCGAAGTTCATAATGAAAAAGTGAGACGAAAAGTCACTTTCCCTGTCAAATGGATATTAATTTCTAATTTACTATAACATAAAAGTATAATATAGTTAGACGACAGAAACGAATACATATAATTCATTATGTATTGAATTTAATTTAATCAGATTAAAAGAATACAAATGAAAATTATTTTAGAAAAACATGGTTACAAACTGAACTTGAACAACTTGCACAACCATATATGCGTGCATGGTCATGGACTTTATGGACTTATCATATACCTTTTAATGATATACCTTCTAAACCATTTGATATTATTTGTCGTGCAATGGATACTCATACGAATTCTCAACCAGATACTCCATTAGGAATATGGAATATACGTGGTCTTATGAATAATGCTTGGCATAAAATAAGTTTACAAATTGATGAGAATTTTTTAAAAGAAAAAAAATTCAAATGAATATAAGTAAATTTCTTTCACAGTTAATTAAATTGCAAATTTTTTGTTTTTTTATACACTGATTGATGATGTGATTTGTTGTTTTTTTTTATGATTAATATGATTTTTTTCGTGATTTCAGCTTTTTTTAGAAATGTAAAATGAATATTAATAAACATCTATTTAGTTAATGTTTTGTCCAGGATTGCTTGCAACATAGTTTGTTTGTTTTTTGAATATGCCATCGAATTGTCGAGATTAATGGAATGAAAAAATAAAGTTCCGTTGCCATCGTTTGGTGGATTTTTAACAAAACTAAAAGTAAAGATATATAAAAAGTGACTAGTTTTCATTATACCAGAAGTAAAATAAACATGATCTCAACATCTTGTAGATCTTTCTTTTCAAAATGATTAGGTTAAATGAAGACGTCACCTTACTTTAATTAATGACGAACAATTTAATGATACTTGTTCTAAAGAGGGGCTTCAAGTTTTTTTTTTTTTTTTTTATAATTTATCAATATGGAGATACATGCCAAATAGATATCATTATAAATATTTTTGTTATTTTCGATATAATAAAAAGTAATAATGTGCCATATAAAAATCTTTACTTTTAGTGTTCTAAGAACTCATTAGTCAAGATCAAAACAAAAAATTCTCTTTTTATTTGATTCATCTTGAGAATTCGATGATGCATTTTAAAAATATACTGAAGACTCTATCGTTACTGCATGCAGAGGTGCACACAAAAAAACATTTTATAATCTCAAAGTTTTGAAAAATAATCAATTATTTTGTATACACACTTTTTTTTGCTATTATATCAATTGCACTAAAAGTCAACTATTCAACTCGAACAAATATTCGATAGTACAAAAATATATTTAAAAATGAAGAAAAGATATACAATTTTAATTATTCCAACAAGTATCAACATTTTTTTTTTTTATTGAATACATTTTCCAACGTATATTCATAAATGTTAGTATATTTACTTTGTCGTTATAATGTGTTGTTTTGATGATTGTTGAATCAATATTTTAAAAAACTAAAAAACTTATGAATGTGTCTCGTCAGTAAGTTATCAAAAAGTAATTACATGTAATTTATTTTCCTGATGTTTTTATATACGCCCGTTGATTCATATTAATAGTTTTTAATTTATAAAGCAAGAACAACAAAAAAGTGCAATTCAAGTTCATTTCTATCGGTAAGAATATAAGATACATCGTTGAACAATTATTTTAATGAAGGTTTGCTCAAAATTTAAAATCGTTGATTCATTTCTAGAATTTCAAAATATCACTAAAATCGAAAGACTTGTCAATCGGACTATTGTCTATAATATTATTTAACAATTAAATACTACGATCACAATTGATTTTAATAAAGAAATTTAATCCTTTCTCTTAGTGAATAGCTATTATTAGAAAGATTATCTTTTTGATGAAAACAATTTATAGTATCAGAAAAAGTCTATTCATGTCTATCAACATTATAATTCGATATATTCTGATAATAATTAGATATTTTATATCGTATTTAATGGAAACAAATATGAAAAAAAAAACTTATTAAATTTATATGAGATCTAGAATCTTTTTTTTTTTTCATCATAGATAATGAAGATTTCATTTAGTATGTTGGTATCTGGAAGGAATAAATTAATGCTTGAAAATGAAGAAAAAGGTAAATTGATATGAGGATATATTTATATTGTTTGCTTTTGCATGTTTCTTTTCAAAGATGTTAAGACATGCAATGAGTAGGAGGATTTCTTTTTTTGTTCTATTATCAATTTTACTAAAAAAATAAAAAGTGTATTCAATAATTATGGTTATACTTTATAAATATATGTGATTATAGTTTTATGATAGGATATATAATTCAAAATTTTCTTTATCTCTATATAAATGACCATTCTGAATCCATAAAAAAATAAAATGATAACATTCAATTTTTATTTATATAGGTAATTTATTTATCTTAAAAAGTATATGGTTTATTTTTCTTTTCTTTTTGATAGAATACAGAATTTAAAGTATTTGATGTTTTGTAACATCTGTTTAATGTTCGAAGTAAAACGGTAAATGTTATTCGGTCGTTGACAATTTTGTCTTCTGGTTTTTATTGTTCTTAAATATAAATTATTGTTCGAATTGATTTCTATTGATAGTATTTTTATTTTTATTATATAACAAAAGATTTTGCTATAGTTGAGTTTGATTATTATGATAAAAATATTTTGAAAATTATATTCTTGAAAAGTTGATAATTTTTCTTTTTTTTTTTTTCATTTCTAATTTTCATCTAAATCACATATCTTTTCTTTATTATTTAACATTATTTCAATAGTAGTTCATTATGGAATTAAGTGTCTAATTCTACTATTCATTTTCTTCATTTGATTACTATGTAACTAATCAGTGTTATTCATGAGTTTTTTTTTGCTCTTTATAGTTCATTGCGTTTATTTTTTTAATGGTATATATAATAAGCAGATCACGTAAAAGTAAAGCATTACTCTTGTTTCGAATAATTGAAAGTGATTTATTATTAGTCAATTCAATAGGTAAAATATTTGAAAATTTTTATAATACTTTTATGTAAGATATGTTCTCAAATAGATTTTTAAACTTCTTTAATCTTGTAATTTTTGTTCGGGGCATCGCATAATAATAGATATGTGTATCAATTTTGTATTCATAATTATAAAAGTTAGACTTCAAATGAGTTAGTTATTAATTATTCTCTTGTATTCTTCGGCATTCTATAATAATATATATATATATATTTAGCACGAGTAATTCTAACATCATTTGACTAATTGTTTTCTCCTATTTGAATAGGTTATTTTATTTTTTTCTCTAATATTATTAAGTTTCAAATTATATATAATTATCTTCAGAAATAGAAAATTTTTTTATTTGTCAATTACGGAAATATTTCTCTTGTACTTATATTTTAGAGAAACTGTATCATGCATTTGTTTTTTTTTGTTATCAGAACTATTTACCCTCATATACAAATTATCTTACATTGTACTAGAAATTATTTGTTTTATAGATATGTATTTATTGAATAGAATATTATATAGTTATATCTCGTATTTATGTTTTTTTCTTTGTTATTATTCAGATCATGAGATATTCTATTTTAATAAAATTCTAAGACAACAATTATTTGCATATGAATATAATATATTGTCTTGCTATTCAGCATCTATTTAGTTTTAATCGTGTTTTTGAATTCTTAATTATCATTATCTAGGTTATAATATCTCAGACAGAAAAAAAAAAAAAGGTAAGTGAAATAGAATAGTGAAGTACGCCATTTATGTTTTCATGTTTAATGATTGCACATTTAATGTATAGTATAGGAAAAAGAAGAAAAGAAAAAATATAATAAGATCTTATTTTCTATTGTTAGTAAATGAAGTATCAAAAAATACTTTATTTTCTAAAACGACGTAATTAGGATTTATATATATATATATAATAGAGACAAGTAGATCAAAACAATTGAAAAACGATTTGATAATCGAAATTTATGAAAAAGATTTTCTTTTGTTTCCTTTATTACATTAATTTAATATTACAAAAATAATTTCATATTTTAGATTTCAATAATGGTTTATATAGAAAATATAACATTAAGTAATTCAAATACTACTTTAAATGAAACTATATCATCATCATCATCTTTTGATGTTAATCCATTAAATTTTTTCTTTAATCATATTTATTTATTATTATTAGTAATAATTGGAAGTATTGGTAATATTTTTGTTATTATTGTTTTTGGTCAAAGAGCATTACGTACAACAATTGCATCTGTTGGTTCGAATATGTCTGTTTATCCATTTTTATTATATATGGCTATATCAGATACAATATATTTATTTATTTTATTTTGTTTATGGTTATCTAATTATAGAAATATTCTTCATCGGCCAATAATTTGTCAATTAACATTATATTTAACATATGTATGTAATTTTATAAGTGCTTATTATACAGTATCATTTACTGCTCAACGTTTATTTGCTGTTGTAAAACCATTTAGTGTTTCACATGTACTTTCATGGTATCGTTCTCGATGTTTAGCATTATTAATAGTTTTAATTGCTTGCTTAATTTATTCATATTTACCATTTCTTATTGGTATTGTTAATGGACGTTGTTATTCATTAGAACATCTACGTTGGATAAATGAATTTATGGATATAGTTGATTGTATTATAGTTTTTCTTATCCCATATATTATGATTATCGTAATGAATACAATTATATTAATATCATTAAGACGTATGAAAAAAACTGAACGTGAATTTTTATTTCAAAATCATTCACAATTAAATAAAATTCGTGAAATAACACGTCGTAATGCATCACGTAAAATGACAAAATTATTATTAACTGTTTCAACATCATATTTAGTTATATGTGCACCATATGCATGTATACATACATGGCGTTTATTATATGGAGAGAAAAAATTTCAAACAAATTTTATAAAACAATTAGAATATTATTTTCATTTAATTTATCAAATATCATTTACAATAAATTTTTATATTTATGTTGTATTTGATTCAAAATTTCGACGTGAATTAAAACGTTTTTTTATGAAATGTAAAAGAAATATTTTTCATTGTTTTCGACATCGAAATTTTTATGAACATGAAGATTCAATTAATCAAAATAATTCATCAAATTTTGAACATTTACAATTAATGAGACGATATTCACCATGTACAACTTTAACAACAACTGGTTTTACATTTGGATATAAATGTAAACAAAGCAAATCATATTATTAGGGAACATAAAAATACATTTTTCTTTTTTGTATAGATGTAAATATATATATATATATATATATATGTGTGTGTGTGCGTATAAATGTTCGTTATTGATTAAAAATCAAATAAAGAAATTTGAAACGTGAAAAAGGATAGATCTTATCTAATCAATAGATGGTATATGTTTGCACGATCAATTGAGTAGTTTAATTGAGAAAAAAGTGACGATGCGTTTTTCATCAACTTCGATTTGTAAGTAAAGATAATTTATAAAGTCCTAAATTTTTGTAAAAAAAAAAGAAAATTCAATAAATTTAATTTGTGGTTTTTTCTTTTGATGAAATTATTTGAATAATAATTAAATCGATCATTATTATGTAAATCTATTATTTTCTATCAATCCATTTAGACATATACGGGATGGACCTATCTCGTTGATGTTTATTTATATTATCAATCATCTCATTTATTTATATCTATCATGGCTCATGAGAGAATTGAAGGTGTGTTTAATAAAAGTTTATAATTATATATTTTACAAGAGTGTTATAAAAGTTTGTCATAAAGGAAAATGTGGGTGTTGTTTAATTAGTAGAAGGGATTTATTATAATTTTATGATTATATATTCCTTCAAATTATATTTTATATATAGTTTCTAGTAAACGTCTGCGGCTACAGTTATTAAAGCTCAAATAAATTTATGAATCGTATAATATGAGTCATGCATTGTTGTGAACTGAAAAATGCAACGCAAGTTTGACATTAGAATTGCCGAATCAAAATGTTATAAATCATAGTTCAGTTGTTTGATGTTTAAGCTAAATATGGACAAGGTAGTTGTGGTTTCGGCTAGACCGAAACCAGGATCCATACTTTTTCATTGGGACCGATCTCTTTTATGAGTGTTGAATGTCATACTGTCATGAGTCAAGTGTTCTAAATAGATATGAGCAAGATGTTCGCGGTCCTAATAGAGTCGCAACGAAAAACGACTGGTCTTGCTCATATCTAGTTTAAACACATATGACTGATATCGGTTTTTTTCTCTTCTTCAGTCTCACTTATACTCAAATTCGTCCTTTATGATCGAATCTAATTCAATTTAACACCCATCTTTTTAAACTGAGAAATCAATTCATGATTTTTTAGGTGGCATCATCTCTTTCTTTCTACCATTATTGTAACGTTTATCATATATATGTACTTCATCTGTCTTCTTTCCTTTTGTGGTCATGCGTGATTGCATATAAGGCCTCTTGTCTAGTATGTTTAAGTACATTCATTTTCTTTCTGTATGAATCATGTATCTTCTCTCTTGTATTTTGTAGTGAATTCCTTCCATTTCCATATTCTTGTAAATATATATTCGTTACTTGAAACAATAGACGCGTTGTATGTATAGGTGTTTGTGTGAAGTGTGGAAAGGTTTTAGATTCATAGCCTCTAATCAAACTTATAAAAATTCGAATATAGAAACATGTCACAAATTTGGAAGATCCTGTAAAGATCGACAACATCCTGTCATACCTTCAAAAAGTTGTTAGTGTAAACACGATGTTGCTGTTGTTGCTCATCACAGGAAGATTAAGAAATTTCAGATTCAGACTCAGGTAGGTCCGAATCTGGAACTAACCCGACGGACTTAACTATTGAGTGTTTCAGGCCGACACAATAGTCTATTTCACTTCACGAGCAATAGCACACCGAATTGTAATTGAATATCTTCTAATGAAGACATAGAAAGTATAATTTATCGAACAACTTCACCCGAGGAAGAAAACAACAGAGACTTCAGCCTTGATGTCTGTTGTTTTCGCCTTGGTACAACGACATAAATGAATGAAGGTTATACAACTCTGATACCAATGTTAGACAACATATCAACAATCAAAAACATTCTTGGCTTTATTTTTCGAACGAATCCGGTCCTATTTAAATAGTTTATCTATAAATATCAAATGAAAACTCATGTGTGTATATGACGCATATAGATTAATTCAAAAATAAACTTTTTGTAGTATTTTTTTTTTGTTCGAATATTTCAGACGATAGTTATCATTACAAATATTTATTTTAAACGATATTCTATATAATAAAAACTTGAAATAACATACTATTATACTATTTAAAAAGTAATATGTAAATTTTTTTGAATTTTCTGGTGAGATTTTTTGTTTTTATTCAAGGCGAACTTTTTAGACACTTTCTTCTATATGATTTGCTTAATATTAATATCAATTCTAAGCTATGAAAATTTCCAACAAATTTTCTCCATTTGTAAAGCAGAAAAAAAAAACATAATTTTCATCTTTAATATTTATCTACACACACCGTGTATATAGTTATCTTTTTGTTGCTTCATTTTTATTACGCCTACTAGTCAGTGCCTTCAGTTTATATGTTTATCTTTACTTCTTTTTAAATATCTTCATAAACGAATAAGAAACATATATCAACAAACGAAAAAAAAGAAAACGATCTCTTATCATATTCACTTAACTTGACCCATCTAGCATTTTTTTTCTTCTTGTCTTTTTGTTTTTTATTCATTTAGCAACAATTACAAGTTATACAAAGATGGCCGACCCTCAAACAACAGTATTAACAACAAAAGAAGATGAAGCAAAAAAAGCTACAACTACAACAAATGGTTCAAATGCAAAAAAATTTGAAGGTGAAGGACTTCCATTTAAAGCTAAACTTATTGGTATGGAAGATTTATCAGTTGATCGTGATGAAAAAATTTGTCTCGATTCAATGTTTAAATTAAAAGCTGTTGTACGTGCACGTGGTGAACATAAACAAAAAGTTCAATTAACTTTAACCATGAGTGCTGTTAAAGTTATTGATGAAACAACCAAAGTATTTAAAAAAAAACAAAAACAAAACGTTTTTGTTTTTGTTTTGTTCTTCTATTTATTTAAAATTATACACATATTTTTTTTTTTGATATATTAGGCACAAATAGCTACTCATGAAATTGAACGTATATCATTTGTTGTTATTGATCCACGTGATACACGTGCATTTGGATATATTTATAATACATCGGATGATCGTCATCAATTTTGGGCTATTAAAACTGAACGAGCAGCTGCTGCAACTGTACTTGCACTTAAAGAACTTTTTGAATTGGCTTTCGAACAATATACAAATGCTGAAAATGCTAAACAACCTAATCAACCAACAGTAACATCAACACAAGCACCAACATCAAATACACCTGCGTCACCTACAGTACAGACACCTCCAGTACAAGTATAAAAATAATTATCGACATTTTTATTTGTTAAACTATTTTATTGAATATTTTTAGGCACCACCACCAAATGTTCCTGTTTCTACCCCAGAAGTAGATCTTTTTGGTTCTTCACTACCAAAAACAACAACAACAACACCACTATTGACTTCAGCACCGCCTCCTGCAGCTGCAACAGTAAATTTTTTTTTTCTATTTTAATCATCTTATTATTGAAAGAATTTTCATATTTTTAGGCATCTCTTTTCGACGACAATATTTGGGAAACTACTCCTACTACAACGGTTACACAAACAACACAACCATCAACTGATAATTTATTTGCTTTCAGTGAACAACCTCCAACGGTTACACAACAACAACCACCCAAGACAGTTGATGTAAGATTTTCGAAATCAAATTAAAATTAAGAATCTCTCCATTTTTTTTCTTTCTTTTACATTGTTTTATCTTATCACATTCTATGTTGAGTATAGTAAACGAATAAGAAAAAATTTACATGTCTATTTTACTTATTCATAAGTATTTCTTTTTTTTTTAATATTTAGAGTTTGGATGATTTATTCAGTGGAATGCCAACAGTACCTCAATCAACAACTTCAACTGGACCTAGTAATCCATTATTTGGTATGTTTCCTAATACTACGCCAACACCTGCTCCAGCACCAACTAATCAATATAGCAATTTTTATGGTCAACCAACACAACAGAATGTTTTAAATGCTACTCCGGCATTTAATCAACCACAACCAATGGCATTTACACCAATGTCTCCTCAACAACAACAACAACAACCGAATTTATTGAATCCTTCTCCTGTATCACCAGTTGCTCCACCAACAGTAACTAGTCCATTTGCTGGTCTTGATATTTTGGGAGGTCTATCAGCACCATCAACAACAGCAGCAAAAACAACACGAGACGCATTTTTTCCTCAGGCAGCATCAGCTAAAACAATTCAACAAATGCAAATGGAAAAACAGGTTAGTAGAAATGTAATATAATATTAAATAGGACTATTATAAATAAATATAATGTAGTTTAATGGATTTTTTCGAGTAAGTTTATCTTTTTCATAGTTAGAATGTCACATTGCATGTCATTCTTTGTTTTTTCTTTTCACTTTTATTTTCTTTATTATTTATTTTATTTTTTAATAATTATTTTCTTTTAATTTAGTCTTAAACAAATGAATATTTATGACCAAGACGATTTATATTACAAATAAACTTTTTTTTAATCATGCATTTTGTGTATCCAAAGAAAAAATAAATAACACATTTAATACACAAGATATCACTATATATCCTTTTTCTTTTTCTTTTTTTGTTTTTTGTGTTTATTAAAATAAAGAAAATCCATTGAATTGATCTTCAAGCATTTGAGGCACAGTCGTCAAAACTTATCGAGCAGATCTGTGTTGACTAGAAAATAGCCAATGATTTTTCTATATGAATGCTTTCTTCTGAATAACAAAAAACAATCGGTAGTTTTGATAACTATTGTCAAGATTATATTAATCATCATCGTGTTCTTTTTCAAAAAGTAAATTGCATTAAGCATAATAATGAGTATATTTATCCTATAAAATCAATCTCTTACTATGCACATGAAATAATACCAATCTATATTTAACTTAGAAGTCATTTATAAGAGGCGTTCAGAAAAAAAAATCGCATTTTCTATTTACTAGTATAATGTGATTATTCTAGTGGTCGATCAAATTAGACATAATCTATGTGCATTTGGTATAGTATGCGATATATCAGCAGTATTCATCGGTAGTGATAATGACAAAACAATTGCCAATTAACCGATGATTGTTTGATACTTAAAAGCTCGGCTATCTTTTGAACGCCATTTGACTGATGTCGATAAATTCAGCACCATATTCACCATTTCTTGTCCGGATTCACTATAACACCTGAGTTGGCTCTCAATTCAGTTGAATTAGATGCAGAATTTCATGCTGAATCGAATGGTGCTATTTTCAAGGGAAATTGTCGATCAAAAAATTTCCCTTATATCTCAAATACTGGTTTTCCCAGCTCGTGAGTGTGCGTGTCATTGAGAGATTTGGTGTTCTCAGAGCTAGTGACTATACTGACCAAGTGGAAATTGACGAGTTGTGAGTTTTTGATTTGAAATGAGTTTATGGCACTTGAACTCATCCTAAATAACAGAAACTCAAGCTAGCTCACTTAGGATGCATCATGTTTTTCTAAGTTTGGCTCATCAGAGAGTTGTGATTTAGGGAGCGTTCCGTGGTGTTTTGACAAGTTTTGCATTTGACTTAGTTGACTTGCAATAACCTCGCTCTTATTTCCTTTCAAGATTACAGATATTATTTCTGATTTACTGTCCATTTAGCAGCATTTTGTTGCCAGTTTTTTTCCAAAGTCGTTGACTTTTGTATTGCACTATCTTTGATTTTCACGAAGGATCTTGATATATTGTATTTAACGTTGAGAGAGTTTAGAATAAATTGATTGTTTAGTACACACTTGGAGTTCCTTTTAAAATGAGAAGTGTAACTTAAAAAGCAAGATTTTTCCCACGCTCACACTCCTTCTCTATCATAGATATTTATTAGTTAATACTATAATAATTTTTTGAATTATAGAAATTAGTAATTGGTCCATCGAGACTTTATATTAAGTTGACCGTCATTTTATCAATCTTTGCTTTTATACCATTAGTATAAATGAGCAGTATCTAACCATTCAAAACTCTGACAAACAACAAATAACACCGCTACAGATCTACGTAACTATACATAAGAGCTTTTGCATTCATTTGTTATGAAGAAAACATTAAAGTAGATAAAGGATATGATTTTGCCTTGTTTGCAACATTTCAAAGACTTTCTCGAAATCTGAAAAACTTTAATATATATATATCAGTCAACATTTTGCATAGTACAATCAACGAGTTTTGAGATGAAATTTTAACTTATAAGTCTAATCTCAAGATATAAAAATCACGAGTGAAGAGTAGTGATCAACGGATCTTTCATATATTAGTAGTCATATGATTCAATATAAAAATTCTAATATGATCTTCACAATTTTAAAAATAGAGAATATCATCATTTAAGAATTGATTGAGATGTATAATACTACGTGAAATGCCATGGATGAATATGTAGTTTATAAGTACAACAGTCATATTTGTAAGATCGACAACTAGTTAGAAAAATATAAGTGTTAAATTCAATAGCAAACATAAAAAAGTTAAACATCGAGCCTGCAGAAATAATTTTTAATGAAATTACAGGAGTGCATACAAAAAAGAGAAATTTTCTGCGCTAATTTCAGAAATAAACAATATATATAGTGCAGTGATTATCATCAATTATTTACAAAAACGATTATTCTACGAGAATATTTTTACTGTAGTCTATATTTATAATTTAAGTAAGATTTAAGAATATATGAAAGTTCTAAACTTTTACGTCAAGGAACTGTGCTAACGAGCCTTTCATGCATTTTATAGATATACACATCTCACAATTCTCTTATTTTTAATCAACAATTGAAGTCTTTCCTTCCTGCAATTGAAGAACTTTGAGAACTTTCTATCCAAATTTTGAAAGAATCTGATTATAAATTCTTGTATTTATAAACATTTAATCCCATGTAGTTACTTTCTTAATCATAGAGCAATAGAAATTATCGAAAGTTGATATCATTTTGGATAAATTGATAGTTTCATCGAAAGCATTGAATGTTTTCACAACAAAATTTGCTATTAATTACTTAGTGAAGTAAAGCATAATCATTTATTGATTATGAATAGATTCAAAAATAGTTAAAAACTTGTTCAATCAAAATTAGAAGTGATTTTCTAATTCAAATCTTGATTGTACTGAAAATCTCGGATATTGTAGGTAACTATATAAGTTTGGATTCGATTCAAAAAATTCTATATCTCTAGGTCAATAACGTCTGATTGATTCTGAACATAATCCAATTCGATTAGAGATAGTTATGAGTGTAGTTTCCTTGCATGAGAAAATTAGATCGAAAAATATTTTTGTGAACTTAAATTGAAATTGTTTATCTTAGAAAGAACTGGACATTATATTAGTTTTAATATCATACACTGATCGAATGACTTTAAGAATAATATAAACATGATTTTAATGATGAAATTTAAGTATTTCATCTATGAAAAAGAGGGTGTGGGTGTGAGACCCACACCCTATTTGAAAGTAAATCAAAAAAGATTAAGACACTTTTGAAATATTTCTACGAAAACAAAAAAGATTAGCCTATGTTCACTGTGTGTGTGTGCTGTTCGTCAATTTTCTTGAGATTGAATAAAAAGTTCAAGCATATTTTCTTAGAGCGCAAAAAACGTAACATTATTTCATGTACCATCGACAAGTATTTTGAATTCTATAGGTAGAATCTGTTGTATCATAATTGGAATAAAATATATAATTGATACTCCAAAACTAACTCTTATAATATGAATCAGGATTTGAATCATTGAATGTTTTTGTATAGTATATCTTGTGTAGAAAAGTTTGCTTTGTCATGTAATTCATCTAGATCATCATTGTTATTCAATTGTTTCTAAACATTTGCTTTTTTCTGAATCTTCGAATATTTTGTTGCATGCCTTTAAGTCTCATAATTATTTTTCCGAAACAGCTCAATCATAGAACTTCTTTCAGATGATTGATTATCAATTGTGGAGATGAGCTCCTACGGAAAGATCCACCGATGACAAAAGTCTTTTGCTATGCAACTTAATTCATCAGTCAGAGCTTTTTGAGATTAGCAATATCTAATAGAAGTAGTTCTCGTGAATATTTCTTGTGGATGCATGGGTGTGGGTGTGGGTGAAGAGAAGATTAGAACTCACATCTACACCCACACCTCACACTGGCTATTGACTCTGAATCTTTCTTTTTGTTCTTAAAATAACATCCTAGCGAAAAATTAAGGCAATGCTTGCCATTAGCGAGTGAAACAGTGTCGAATGATGCGCGACACAATATGTTTCCTAACACAAAAAATTTTGAAAACATAGCAGGGATCTCCTACAGATAATTTTCGCGAAATTTTTTTTCTCTTTTAGAAATAGTGTGTTTTCTGGAAGAGGATTTGGATGTGGGTGTGTACGTATGAGTATCGGTCTTCTCTTCACCAACACCCACACCTTTGTGTGGAAGTATTTTGGTCAGTACAAATATTTCATTCGTAAAAGTATCTCAATGTCTACAGATGAAATATTTTGAAAACAAGTTGCGTAGAAAACATCATCAACTACATTTTGAAAATTACAATTGACATTCTACAGTTAATCTGGGCTGAAATACAGAAGAAACAAAATGAATATAAAAGTATTACCCCATTCGAAAGTCACGTGGAATCGTTTTCGAATAGCTCAGTGTATTTTATCACTGAAGTTTTCATTTCTGTGTTTGCGAGCCAATACACATCACTCAAACTTAGTGTACTGCGTGATTGCTTTTTTTGATCACGATCACGATCACGA